TAAACACTCCAAAACGTCTGAAAGGACACTTATATGAATTAGAGTAACTCCTACTCATAATACCAAGCTTATGGGACCAAAAAGAACACAAATCCATGGCTAAACAAGATCTAAGTAAAACTTCATCAAGATCAAAATTTTTTACCTCCAAATGGTTTCAAATGATGATGTGATTCTAGATCTAAAATTCTCCACTCTTTTAAGATGGTTTTCTCTTCCTTCTTCCTCCTTCAAGAACACCAAAATACACACTTAAGGTCAAGATTGCTTCATACAAGAGATTAGGGTTAGATAGGGTTGAGTTGCAGGATGGAGGCTGATGAATGAAAGGGTTTTGATGCTATAAAGGTGTTTAAATAAGGTCCAATCCCTAAAAATTAGGGTTTGGGATTCTGCCACGTACACCCAGTGTACTCATGCAGTCTCCAAAATTACAAAAATACTATTAAGGACCAATTTGCAAACAATTCTTATACTAAGGGCATAATCTGAATACCTGGAGATCAAGACGTTACACTCCCTTCCTCTAAACCCTAAAATCGAAACCGTAGCCCTTGAGAGTGATTTTTGAAGCCTTTGAGTGATTTTTGAGTGTTCTTGATGGCGAGGGAAGATCATTAAAGAAGTGGTGGTGCACTCAAGCCATTGGATCCAAAATTTACACATCATTATTCAACTCCAAAAGGTATAAAGTTCATACCTCGAGGCTTTCTTGGTTAGATCTTGTTTATGCTTAATTTTTTGCTCATTTTGTCCTAAAACCTTGATCTTTCTGAGTATGGAATACTCCATAGCATTTGAGCTGTCCTTTCAGACCTTTTAGGGTGCATAGTGTCAAAAAAAAAAATGCAAGCTTGGTCCTTTCCTTTCATCCATGCATGAGTTATGGGGTTTTGGTGATGTTGGAAGTTAGGGTTTTAGGATTAAGCTCTCTTTAGCCATGCAAAGGCATAAAGTCAGAGACTTTATGGATTAGGACATCTTTTAGGGTTAGATCTGAGGTTGGGTTAAGGTCTCTCAATGATTAAGACCTTAAAAGTTGGATTTTGAGTTGAGATTGCCTACCCCGAGTGTAAAACTGGCTAGACCCAGCGTAGCCAGTTGCGAACCCGTTTCGTTCAGCCTTGTGCTCTACGCCCAACATAGAGCTGAGTACGTAGTATGTAAGGTCAAAATGTCGACCTTTGACTTTCTTTGACTTTTTACTAATTGTGCCTTTAGGTGAATTTGTGAGGGTTTTGGTCTTGGAAGGGGAAAAATGGTCTTTTGCCATAATTGTGGATTAGACTTGGCGTGGGACTAGTGGAGTATGGAAAATTACCTAAATCGTTAATTAGGGTTAATTGGTGTAATTAATAGGCGGAGTCTAGTTTCGACAGTTCGGGTGTGAGTTCTATCAGTTATCTGTGCGAGGTGAGTTTCCTCACTATTCTTACCTGTGTGGTAGAATATATGTGTCGATCAACTAGGTCTATCTGTTGTTACTATCATATGTGTTACTGTGTGTGTTGAGACTTCGGGTAGTCTCCAGGATTGCTGATAATCCATAGGGCGTGTTGTTTGCCTATTGAGACTTCGGGTAGTCTCTAGGGTTGCTAATAACGCAGAACTGTTTATTTTGTGTTGGGTTGTACGTGGTATTTTGGGGAACTCAGTAAACTTCGTGCTCACAATTGTTGATTAAATGTGTTTCAGGTACTTTTGAGGATCGCGGGAAAGCGAATGCTTGATTGTATACATTCGCCTGCAGTTTATGATTCCAGATATTTTGGGATACTCTGATATTTCGATGATGATTTGTATTTGACACTTGTGATTTTCTTGGGATGGTTTTTATGAACAATGTTTTTTTATTGAATTTTAAAATAAGAAAATTTGGTTGGAAAGTTTGGATGTTACAAAAATAATCTATATACAAAGAAACAACTTCCCAAAATTAGATTTGTTATATGATTGAAATGCAATAGGGTAAAGACATCTTTTATTTGTACCGATAAAAGAAGTTGTTGTATGGATATAATACCTTTGCTTATTCCAGTAAATCTACTATGATTGTTACCATTGACATCATTTTTAACATTTGAAGTAGAAGACATACATATTTGTGTCTTTTTTTTGTAGAATTTGGTCTGGCTCTTTTTTTCTTTTCTATAGAGTTAGTGGTTGTACAAATTGCCGTGTATTTATTAGAAGAGCTTTGTGCATAACTAATATTCAAAAAAATGTATAACTACATGTATTAATAAATAGATAATTACGTACCTGGATGATGAAGTGGATCAATATTACTACATAAGCGTTCAACCTGAACAATATTTCTACTTGAAGGTTCAACAAAATCTTTATTCAAGTCAAAAAATATGGAATATCTTTTGTATTAAACTGTTTCCGTTTCCCTCTTGTGGAATGAATTGTGTTTGTTGTTCTGAATTGTAGTCTGGTTGTTGGAAACAGCTGAAGCATTAGAGAACGTGGAAACTTGTGTTGGTAATGTTTGTGAAGGAATTTTGAAAGATGAGAAAAAGATATAAAATCAAATATAATGTAATAAATTTATGATCAAATAAAGAAACATATGTAATAAACAGTAATAACGGGAATAGGAAAAGTATGTAACAACTAGTAATGAAAGAATAGGAAAAGTATAACTAGAGTTCTGATGCGTGTTAACAACATTAAAAGTTGTGGCATTTTGATTTGTATGCTGATTTGAAACTGCCGACGTATATGGTAGGCTTACAACTGTTCATTGGTTACTTTAACAGTTAATATATTGGGAAATGAAAATTGTGGTTATATGATTTAAAATGTGGATGTAAATATAATATAAAAATAATTATTAATAATTTACCTTGACCGATGATTTGTGAAAGTGGAGTCCTTGATGAAATAAATGTCGGTTGCATATTCGGGTGTATCATGGCATGAGACAAGGATTCCGAAAGTAATTTGACAAACTTTCGAATAACTCGACAATTAGGGGGTATGAAGTAATTATTTTCTAAAAATGAAAATTCATATCACAAAGGTGGGGAAATATATAAAAAATAATGAAAAGTACAATACATAAACAAATATAAAAAAAACAAAACTGCAATAAAAAAAGACATAACATATAAGAAAATGTACATTTGTGAGAAATTCTTTGTATTGTTGAATGTGATGGTGTTTTTATAGCACTGGATGAAGAGGGTGCAAAAACTAAAAAATAGTATATATATCAAACATTCAAATATGATATTAAAGGAAAAAAAAGACTTATACAAATTGAATATTATAGACATCTATGTATTAAAAATATAATGATAATAATAAAATGTGAATTTTACCGTTTGTGATGTTGGACAGTAGTGTGGCTGGGGATGATTTTGATTTGATGGTTCCATTGTTCGGAATCATATTGGTTGTAGTCTGTAAGAGGTAAGGAGAAATATGATTGTAATTTTCTGGTACAGACAATCGGTTTAATGGTGATGTAGGCATTTGGTTGGGATTTGGGCAATAGGTGTGTGGTAAAACATAACTCACAACATTTTTATGCTTTTTTTCTAGAAGCAAAATGAAATGTCACTCATTTCTATATGTTTTTTGTAGTGTCTGTTTTTGGTTATATCATACATATATAATGATATTGATGATTTCTAAATTTGTATATAAGGAAATTACTCAATATAATTGTTGAAACAATGTATGAATTAATTTATGTAAACAGTTATGGATTTGGTTATATCATACATATATATATAATGATATTGATGATTTCTAAATTTGTATATAAGGAAATTACTCAATATAATTGTTGAAACAATGTATGAATTAATTTATGTAAACAGTTATGGAGGGAATTAATGTAGTTTACAAAAATAGTTTTAGAATAGATTTTGTAAGGTTTTATTTTGTTACTATATGCAAAACCACGGCCGATCCATTGATTTTTCATACCCGAGGTGAGATGAAGAAATGATGCCCATATATTTGTATCGAACAATGCACCAAAAGTTTACATAACATAAATTTATTAAACATAAGCACAGTAAATTTTTTAATTAATTAAATTTCATATTAATACAACATTACATTGATACCCTTCAAAAGTAAACACACTACCAATACATTATACATTTCCACCGATTGAAAATCTACCTCACACTATCTACCATAACAAAGCCTTAAGACTTTCTAACTAAAAAATAGAACAAGATATTAATAATTGATTAAATTCACAATATCTACAATAACAAAGCCTCAAGTCTTTCTAACTTAAAAACAAAACAAGATATTAATAATTGATTAAATAAAGAGGAATAATCAAATTTAAACTTTTAAGGACTAAATATATAACCGGTAATACTTATATGTTAATCAAGTTCATTTAACAATATCTTTCTCATTAGAGAAAGATGGTAGATATACTATTTTAGTTATGTCTACATGAAACTAAAATAACCAAAAAATATGAATGCTTTATAGAATTATAGAAGCAGTTTTGAACTCCAAATATTCAAATGGTCAAGTACTCAGGTGACAGTAGGTTTCAAAATCACAACATATTCAGACATATTACTTTAACTATAAGAATCTTCAAAACAAAAATACAAAACTTAGTATTTAAAACATCAAACTAATCAAATAAAAAACAATCATATATATATATATATATATATATATATATATATATATATATATATATATATATAGGGAAGGGTTATATGGAATACAAAAAACCCTAAAAATCATAAAAATGCATAAAAAAAATACTTAGAGATCACAAAACTTTTTTTTTGAGTTTATATATGAAAAAATCTCTGAAAAAAAATCGGTTTTTTTTTTCAAACATTTTTTCAGCGAATTTGAAAAAAAAGCTGCGATTTTTTCATTTATAAAGTCAAAAAAAGTTTTGTAATCTCTAAGTATTTTTTTTATGTATTTTTATGATTTTTAGGGTTTTTTTGTTTTCCATATATATATATATATATATATATATATATATATATATATATATATATATATATATATATAACATTTACCAAGAAGGCAATGAAATAAAAAATCCTTATAATTCGAACTCTAAGTCTCCAGGAATTTTCGATTTATAACTGCGAAGCCGACCAAGAACTCAAAAAATTTGGGCATACTGAAAGAGAAAAGTAAACCTGAATGAGAAGACAAATATGAAGTTAAAAACATGAATAGATGAACTCCAGACCTCTATAAATCAGAAATCAAAACACATAAAAATACCTCCAGCTTTCAAACAAAATTTGAACTTTAGAGTTTAGATAAAAGATAACTCAGATTAATTCGAGAGAAGATCAGAAAGATAAAATACATATTTAATAGATACCGAGAAATAAGAGTTAAGAATAATGCAATAGAAAAAAATACCTCTAGAAGCCTGAAGCAAACTTTGAACTCCAATTCTGAAGTCTTGAACTCTTGTCTTCACTCTTCACTCTTCAAATTAAAAAGTCAATAGTAGCACTGTAGCAGAACTTAAAAACCGGGATTTATTCGCATATTGTATCCAGAAATCGATAAAATGAGAGAACATATCAACTATTAAGGAATTGAATGGGTAAAAAAAAAGATTAAATGGGGGAGGGCATCAACTATCATCCATGGATGGTATACAAAAATCGCCAAATCGAGACCAAAATTCTCAATTAAAGAGAGATATCGTCTTTTACTTTTAGAAATTGAACGCTTGGTCTGCTGAAATACCAAATACGATTGGAATGTGGGAGACTGAAGTGTATAACCGTATTGAAGAATCAGGAGGTTAGAGATAGATACCGATAGGAAATTCATCGTCTTCTACATTGTGATTATTGCATCTTCGTTTTCCAATGTGATTTTAGTTTTCGTGCCCTTGCTTTCCTACCTCGATTGAAGAATCATCGATGAGACTGATAATCCAACACTTCAACACCAGTTTAACAGCCGCGTTTACCTATAAGGCTTGTGGGTGGGTGTGCTCTCATATTTGCTACGGTGGGCCGCGTGCACATTCTTACTAAAAGTTGTTATTTGGTAGGTACGGGTTGTCATACTTGCCATGCTACCTACTTTTTCTTAAATATACAAAATAAATCTTTTAAACATAACAATTTTTAAAAAACTAAAAATTCATTAAACTTAAAATAAAAACATAGAAAATCAAAATAACAACAAACACACACAAAAATAGAATTTAAAATTAAAAACATACAAACTATAATTAATTTATATTAAAAATAATCAATTTAACCAACTTAATATAAAACTACAATTTCATTAAAATTCAACAAAAAATACAACAAACACATCCAAAAAAAATACAAAAAAAAAAAAAAACTTAGAAAAATAAATTTACAACAAGTAAAAACATCATATAATTGAAAATGGGGACACAAAGAATATTAATAACAATTAACTTATATAGAATTAGTTTACTTGAATTAATATTAAATATGAAAGGGAATAAGTTAAATGATAATTTTTATAAAGTTGAAGGGTTAATATTATATTTTCAAGCTGAGTTTAGGGTAGAAAGTGAAGCAAAAGAGAACTCATAGGGATCTTTACTGTAACTTTCCAATTGAAAAAACATTTCTCTGTCATCGGCGTTTGGTCACCGAATTGCCGAGCCGAGCTCGGCATCCCGAGTACTCGGCCCGGTGTGCGCCAAACCTGCCGAGCTCCTTGCCGAGCCCATACCGTCCAAGCTAAGAGATTGGGCTAAAATTAATCCCCTTTTTCCTTGTTGCCCTGGACATTTGCCCAAGTCGTCCGTGTATTGAAACACATATGTAATAAAAAATACTGGTTTTGGAGAAGAAATTTATAACTTACAAATCTTGAAGACATGTGATAAAATATGCAACAGATCTTGACCCATATATGTATCAGTTTCTTTGTGACAACATGGTAAGAGTATCATGTTGCAACGATGAACCATTTATGTCTTGTATCATAAAAGGTTAAATCGATAATTAGCTTTAAAAAGGACTTAACTGATAACAAATTAAAGATGTATATTGAATTACAGATTTAAAGTCAACTTGTAGGAATTCATGATTTTTGCTGGTGCATCATTTAAAATTAAAGTGTACAAAAAATAAATCCTACAAAATAAATTCACCAATGAAAGTAGAAGATACAAAATACGTAATAACACAAAACAATCATATTAATTATTTAACAAAACTTTGAAATTGTATTAAATAAAATGGATAACATCGTGTTAAAACCCAATAACAACCAAACGATAATTCCAAAATCAACCAAAAGACTTGACTAACAAATCCATACACCAATAATAAAAAAGTGCGACATGCAATTATTAAAACATAAAATGCATACAAGAAATTGTCTTTAAAATGAACTGTAAATTGTTGATAGGTGGATTCAAATTACTCAAACTTTTCGATTTTAAGGATCTTCAGGGTAGTAGGATGAGCACAAACTTTTGAAGGAGACCACTCTAAAGAGTCAGTTGTGGCAACGATATCGATGGGGCGTTTGTCGGCACTGGATGATAGTGTTACAACTTCAAGATCAACAACCTCAAGATTATCACTATGGACCGAATCAGACTTTTCCTGTACAAATGTGTAAAAGATTAGTAAAAAATCTGATTTCATTAAGAATTTTAAAATTTGATGTTTATGCAGAAAGTTTTCACCTTATTTGTCTTGTTAGTAGAAGTACCATCATCATTAACAACTTGTTGTTCATAAGTAGGTGAACGTTTGAAAACCTTAGCAAGTACACTTTCATCTTCAATCAACTTATGCACAATGTAAGTGAGATAGTTGTTTTCAAGATTGAACATGGAGATCTGAACTTTGAAGACAAACTTTCTATTGAGAAGAGTTTTGAACTCGTCGCGGATATTTTGAAGTCCTTGATCCTAATTTAAACACAAGTGAATATTAGAACATTTAAAGAAGAGATATTAAATTTGTCAATTATTTAAATAATGAAGATATATCAGAAAACCTTTGATATTTTTCCATAAACCATTGTTTACCGCGGTGAATAAGATCTTTTACATGGTGCCCAAACAATAAAAAGGAAGAAGACCCACTTTCATCTTGAACACGAACTACAACCTTGATCCTAGAAACTATAACATAACACTTATAATTACCCGAAATTAAAGTGGGGAAATATGAAAAAAAGTTGAAGGCACACATAGTTCAAGAGCAAAGAATGTACTTAATTGCCATACACTTCGGAAACTCCCCCGCAACCATCACAATTAAAAGGTTCAGCAACACTATCATCATCATTTTTAGCAACTTTTTTTGAACAATCGCGACAATAAAAAGAGTACTAGCCTTCGTCCAAATAAAATCTGATGATAGTAGAAATGATGGTTAAACCAATTTCTTGGTTCATACATTGTTTGAAACAAATAATAGTAAAATCAAATAATATATTACTGTAGAATATAAAAAAAATAATATAATGCAGGAAAAAAATAAAAATGTTATGTAAACCTTGTTGTAATTAGGAATGTCATCAATGTTTTTTATTGGAAAACGAAGGTAGTAATCCTATGGATTGGTCAGAACCGTATCTGGGTGAAGCTATGTCGTATGAGTGGAAGACTCAACATTCACATCTAAAGCATTAAGACTACATATACGCGGAAAAAAATGATGTTAAAAATAACTATAATCGTTAAGTAAGCACATGCAAATAGAAAACATTATATGATTAATTAGTAAAACAAAGACAAACCTTTCTTTGGATTCTAAAATGTGAGATATATCATCATTTATATGCAATCTAGACCCAAACAAACAGTTACCAACTTGAGGCTGATCTGGAAAAAAAATATTAGAAATACTCTCTTATCAGTAATTGCCTTTAAGTTAAAATGATAATGTGTTGAAATGGACATATATAACGATAGATTAAATATACTTATCACCCCAAGTTTTGAGTTTAGCCAAACGTAGAAGAATGATAACCGAGGTAGTATCATTTTGATGTTCTGAAATGTAAGTGTTAAGCTTAAGTGCAAAACTGTCCCACAACGCAACTGCAATTTTCTTACCACTAAAAAGGCATGGTGGTTATTATATAAAGATACAAATAAAATTGGGCAAAGTAATAATAAATAAATATATGATTGCATACCTTAGATTATGAGCAACCATATTCATTAACCTTTTGTCGTTTGCATTCTCAACAGTGACTCGCATGAGATCCGTTGACATAACTTGCCCAAGAAAATCTAAGAGACAAATTTAATAGATTAATATATGATAAAAAAGTGTGTTACATTTAGAAACAAAGTACCGAAATATAGGAAAACAATAAAAGAAAAACATACCAAATGTGATGCGAGTGTTAAAAATTTTGGCTAGCAAATCGGGGAAACTGACAAAAATGATAAGGATAAACCCTATCAACAATATCAGTGGAAACAAGAAGTGTGGTGGTTTTATAAAAAATTATCTTATGTTTATGAGGAAAAAGCATATAGTCTCCCTCATTTATAGCCATAGCAAAGTTATTAATCTCCCTAACAACTCCTTCATTGAATATAGCTTCAAATACATGAATGAAATTCTTTTTTATTGTTGTATGAATTTTAGTTCCCTATAGTTGACAATGAAAGTTTAATTAGTGTAAATAAAAGACTAATAAAACATAGTAGAATGCAGAATAAAGTTTAATTAGTGTAAATAAAAGATGAATAGAACATAGCAGAATGCAGAATTCGTACCTGTTGGTCAATTAAAATCAAGTCCAGAATCCCAAACATTTTTGGGTTGTTTTTATAGGTTTGCTTCCAAACCAAGACGACTTTAACACGGATGTTCCAACATTTATTTGATGCATCGATGTAAGCAACCTTATCGAAGATGATTTGAGCAACATTGTTATTTGCCATGGTATTGTATTCTCTGGATTGAAAAAAAAAAGAATAGTCAGCGGGAATTATGATACGACATAACAAAAAATGTATACTTGTATTTATTGTTGGTTTTTATAGGAAAAAAATTATACAATGCGAAAAACAATTAAATTAATATGGTACGTGCATCCTATAAAATATCTATGTCATATACCTTGATAGCAACATACAACGAACAACTTAACCTAACACTACCCTTTTATTAAGTATAAAGTTACATACCATTTGATTTGTTGTAGTAAACAAATCACTTCAATATCCTTGTAATGTAGGTCTTGGAATTCTTAGCACCAAAAGTATGATGCCTCTAATGGCTCACACCCAAAACCTAGAGCTAGAAGACAAGAGGAGAGAGGAGAGAGACAGATGAGATTTTCGGCAAGAGTATCTTCCTTGGAAGAGTATGCACTAATTTGAGGTCCCAAGGGGTCCTATTTATGGTGTAGATAACTTAGGGACAAATCAATATTTGAATGGTCAAATAATAGATTTAATCTCAATTCAAATCATTTCCTTATTTACTACCAGGAGGCTTCTGGAACCCTAGAATCCATCCTAATTTCGTTCACCACCTATATGGGTTCTAGAATATTCATTCCTTGCTTAATTATGAACAATTATAATTCAACCATTGGACATTTAATTAATTCCAATTAATCCCGAATTAATTCAAGATTTATTCTGATTAATACATAATTAATTCTAATTGATTTCACATTAACTTATTAATCATATAAATTAATGAATCAATCATTTAACAATTGATCTCATATTAATTTATTAATCACATAATAAATTAACAAATCAATTATCTATTTCCAATTGATATATTAATCATAATACATTAACAAATTATTTACTTATAATTTTCAATTAGTTTATTAATCATATAATAGTCTAATAAACATATTTTCTCTCTAAATGTCACTCTAATCAAATTCTAGTTATGAGGGCGATCCAAAAAGGACTTTGCTTCTAATTACAAGAATATACCAATTTAGTTACCGACTTAGACATCTTAATCCAACAGTTATAAGGAGTTCAAATATTTCGTAATTATAGTATGAAATATGACAGCTAATATGATATAGTTTCTATAGTACAAAAAATAATTAAATATAGTATGTAATATATATATATATATATATATATATATATATATATATATATATATATACACTATAAAATTTCATAACAAAAATAGCTAGAAGCATACCAACAATAATAATATCTCTATAATATTTTGCATTTTATTAAATCATATTAAAAATAAAACTAAGACCCTTTTATAGGGAGGTGTAGATGTAATGTAAGATCATTTCCATAAGTGAAATTTGTCTTAGTTATAGAGATGCTATCAAAATAAAAATCAATCTAAAGTGGCATGTTTTATTAAATTTTATGATAAAGTATAATGTTGTAATGTATAATTATTTAAGGTATTCATTTTAACCCTTGAATTGTGCTTTATGTGCAAGATGAATCCTCAGTGGCAATTTCGTAATTCTAGAGTCAGCTTGGGTACGCGGGGCGCACACCTTTGTACGCAGGGTGTACCCGGGCTCGCATTAGTACGCTACGCGCACGTTCGTATGCAGGGCGTACACAGTCAGGGTGCAAACCCTACATTTTAGGGTTTGGACCCTATTTAAACACATTTATGGTCACATGCACCTTCTTATCTTTATCCTCCTTCCTCATTTCGAAACCCTAAAGAGTGTTAGTGCATTGTGAAGCTTGTAGAGCCATTTTGGTGCCATTTGGAGCTTTTGGAATAAAAGGAAGAACATTGAGGTTGTGGTGTTTCACTCAAGGCTTTGGATCCAACATCATGTCCTTCTTGTGCACCTTGTGGAGGTAAAAAGCTTCAACCTTCGTGTAGAAATCTTATGGATCTAGTTTTAGCTCAAAGTTGTTCTCCTTTTTGTCCCAAACTTGGTCTTTGTGAGTACAAGGTACTTGAAGGCATTTGAGTTGTCCTTTTAGAGGTTTTGAGGGGTGTTAAGTAATAAAGATGTGTTTTTGGTTGTTAGTTTCTCTCCATGCATGTGTTAGATTGTCTTAATGGGTTAAGAGACTAGGGTTTTTGGAGATAAGGTCTTAATAACGATGATAAACCATAAAGTTAGAAACTTTATGGTTAAGAACATCTTCTTTATACTGGATCTGAATTTTGGACGTGAGTGCTTAAGGAATTAAGCACTTTATAGGAAAGGTGGTGAGTAGCCACGTACGTTGGGCGTATTGAGGGGTACGCTACGCGTACGAGGTCAGATTCTCGATCTTCGGTCAACTACATAGTACGCCCCGCGTACTTACAGAGTCAGCTCGGTGGACTCGGTTGACTTTGACCGGATTTTCCAGGGTTTGGCCTAGGGGTATTTTAGGTATTTTGACCTATATGTTGAGTTTTGTTTCTTAGAATTTATTAAGGTGATTGGTAGCGTTGAGCACAAAGTAGAGTGCTATTTAGTTTTCTTATCTGTCTGTGAGGTGAGTTTTCTCACTATATCCATGGATCGAAGGGACCAATGTCGGCCCATTTCTTGTTATGTGGAATGCTGGTTGTCTTTGTGATAATTGTATGAAAGACTAGGATCTGGCTCCTGGACTTGTATGTAAGACTGGGATTTGGCCCTCGGCATTGCAAGGAAAGACCATGGGGGTAGCCTATGACACTTATATATAAGACGGGGATTTGGCCCTCGACATTGCAAGGAAAGACCATGCGGGTAACCCATGACACTTGTATGTAAGATCGGGATTTGGGCATCGGCATTGTAAGGAAAGACCATGGGGTAGCCCATAGAACTTGTATGTTTTGTGTATGTGGTATTTTGGGGAACTCACTAAGCTTTATGCTTACAGTTTATGTTTATGATTTCAGGTACTTCCGGCTTGAAAGGGAAGGGCCCGGCGTGATGGCACAACATCCTCACCACATGATTTCCTCATTTTATATAGTTGTACTCTGATGATTTGAATATTATCACTTGGTGTTGATTTTGAACAATTAATGAATGGTTGATGAACTTTTTAAAGAAAATTTTTATTACTGTTTTCGGGATGTTACAAATGTTATTTATTAAATTTAAATATTTTATATGGTAATTATCGAAATTTTGAAATGATTAGAGATTTATTAGGTTTTGGTAATATACTTTGAGAATTGTGGTGGGTATTATCATCATTCTGAAAATAGAAAGTTATTTATAACATCGCATCCAAAACAATGAAACAACTTAAACAATATTGTTATTCTGTTCAATTAAGTAAAAATAGAACAACTATAGACTGCTGTCCAGATTATGTGCTTAACACATTAAGCTTATTAATTAAAAAAGAAACAATCATTTTCTTTTCTGTAAGCTATCAACTCAAGACACATACACCAATAATAATAATAATAATAATATACTTAATCTATGAGTGTTTTTTGAAATTTTCCACAATCGTGTCCTAAGTTTTCATTTTTGTTCTCTGGTCCATGTAAAATGTTACATCTCTTATCTAATATTATTTACTTTTTTGCATTTATACATTGAAAAAAGTTACAAATAAGTAGGTAGTCATTTTACATGGGTCTAGTAACACATTCACAACTGAAGTAGAACTTGAGGAATATTGGGAAGATTTCAGAAAATGGACCAAACTTAGATATATTACATTCATGTATTCAATTTCATGTTGATGTTAAAATTGAAAGATAACGAATTTACTTTAAAATGGCTTCGGAATCAAAACAGGCATAACAATGAGAAGGTGAAGATTCTGAAACTTGACCATTCTTAGATATATTACATTCCTATATGGTTTAAGCAGACATGATAAAAGAGTGGGGTCATATAGTATGAGTACTACTTCCATTTTCATAAATTAAAGAAGAAAATGAATGCAAGTCCTTGACAAAGGGACCCAAAATAGTGGGGTAATACGGTATGAATAGTACTTCCATTTTTGCGACTAAAATTATAAAAATAAGGTGTACTCCATGACCAAAAATAATCATTTTACTTGAAAAGGGGAACAAAAACGTTAGAAGAACCTTAAATAAGAACCAAAATTGCAAGATAAAACTTATTGGGACTAAAATTATAAAAATAAGCTTTACTCAAGGACCAAATATGTCATTTTACTTGCAAAGGGACAAAAAACATTACAAGAACCTCAAATAATAACTAAAATTGCAAGATAAACTTTTGGGGACTAAAATTGAAAAAATAAGCTATACTCAAGGACAAAAATAATCATTTTACTTTAAAAATGGACCAAAAACGTTACAAGAACCTCAAATAA